CCTAAACTAGTTGGATGAAACAGCTGTCCAGCACTCCTTGGCTGGTTTTCAATGGTTCTTTAACTGATATCAGTCCACAGTCAAACTTGAAAGAAATCAAACCCCTACGAACTAACTCGTGAGAGTTTTTGTTTTTTAAGTGACTTTTGTCTGTTGTGTATCAATCATAATGCTGTAAGCCAACTATTCTCTCAACCAATCAACCAAATCCCTACAAACCAATACCTGAATATCAATGAGATCCTCACTGGCAACTAGCCCTATTCAGGTAGATAGTTACCTGGGGTTCCACTAGGAAGTCGTGACCAGTAGGATGCAGCAGCTCGGGTGTGAAGATAAATACTCGCCGAAGACATTGGCTAGTGGTCGCACTATGTTGTGAATTGGCAGAAGTTAGAATTCACGGCCCATTGGATCGGGTCCCACTCGCTCAATGGTCTACGAGCTCTCATTGTAACTAGGAGGTGCTGGCTGAGAACCGTGGCGGTGGGTGCGTACTGCTGAGGAGTCTCAGACTAAGCTGTCGAAACAGTTGTCCAGTACTCCCAGTTGGTTTTCCAATGGTTCTTTAACTAATGTCAGCTCATGATGAAATCCTGTAACCAATCAACCAAATACCTACAAACCAATACTTAAAAAAAGAGGTTCATTAGGAAATAAAATTAACTATATATTGATTGGTTATTTGGAGGTAATCAATCGTTAAAAAGAACATTTTTTTGAGAAATTACCTCAGTCAGAGAAGCACAGAAAACCAGTAAATACTTACCACAGTCATCATGTCTCCATTTTTTAGAAGATTATGAAAAAGGCTTCTCTTTGCTTGTTCTTAAACCCTTATCAAACTCTTTCACTGACCCCAAGCAATTTGCTTATAAATGCAGCAGAAGCGCTTGACGTGCTTTCATTTTACTGCGCCATGATATGGTTTCCAGTGTGTTTTTATCTACCTTTTTAGACTTATACCACCGCTTTCAATTCTGTTCCTAGAACACTTTTGTTAAGCAAACTGACTTCAGCATGTACTGAGCCCTAAATCACAAGGTAATCATATTTTTTATTTCTGGAGGTAGAAAATAACACTGTTTCTATGAGCAAGCTCCCCCCCCCCATTTCTTCGTTTACTGGAGCTAGTGTGCCTCTAAGTGCTGTACTTCCTCCACTTCTGTTTTTTTCTCTCTCTCTTTTTACATGACTTACTGTATTCTTTTAAAACTAGTTCCATCAAATTTGATGACTATCTGATGCTTTTTGTCGTAAGTATTAGTTAGATTACTCTGACGGGAATAGTTTCCTTTCTGAGTTTGGCCAGTGATCTTATTCATCACATGGCTTTAAACTAAATCTCTCTAAATGACAGACCGTTGATTTTCAGTCTCAGATGTGAACAACAACACATGCGTGGACTGCTTCACTCCCGTGATCGCTTTTTTTATATCGACGACAGGGTAGTTGGAAGTAAATCAAAGATTACCTATCACAGTGCTAGTTTCTCTATTATACATAACCTTCGAAGGCGTCTCACAACTTGTTGATTTGTGATAAAAATCTTCCGTGTGATCTACCATCTTAGAGAGTTGAAACTTTCTGGCATAACTCAGCCTCTTCTCTTACATTTTTATTATTTCATATATTCTACGCAATTTCCTTTATTGTTCCACCTTATTCTTTCTTGAGCTTCTCAAAAATAGGCTATGTTATATGTTACCGTGATGGCTGTAATCAGGTTAGTTGTGTTGCTTTGATCCAACTAACTGATATTCTTGCTGACAAGCATTTTAATTCAAACATCTTGTTGGATGCTCAACATCCCCTTTGTTATTGGCTACTTTCTCCTTGTATCTCTTCAGGTGAAACTGGAAGGAATTTCATGAGAATTTATAGTCGTACAACAGAATATTAAAGTTCAACCACACCATCTAGAGCATAAATGTTGTTTTGAAGGGATGAATGTCACAAAAAGAGCTTATAAACCTACTTTGTATTCTGTAAATAAACAGCAACTCATTACAAGCATTATTATTATTATTATTACTATTATGTATATTATCCTTCTCCTCATTTATTATTATTTCCTTTAATTCCTAGAAGAGCATAGGGCTTCAGCCGCCAAAGTCTCCATTGCGTTCGGTTTTCTGCCAACGTTTTCACCCCTCTCCAAGTCTGCCCACATGCTTTCATCTCCTCTTCACATCACCTCCTCCAAGTCACCCTTGCACTGACGACCAACTCGCCACTTCTCACTCGGGTTCCACTCGAGCGATGGCTTGTCTAGTGATGTCACTTGATGGTTTGTTTTCTCAGAGTATGGCCAATCCATCTCCATTTCTTCCTGCTTATTTGTTGCACAATCGGTTCCTGGTTGGTTCGCTCATTGCCAGAGATCCCTATTTCTGATCTTTATTGATGTAATCTTATTATTTCTACTATTTTAGTTGTTTATTTGTGAAAGGAGACGAATTGCTGAAATGTGTACAGTACTGAAAATTCCATTCTGTATAAAAATTACTGTTTGAAATTAAAGTGATCGCTGTTTTTTTTCAAGTTTGAAACCTCTTGTCTATGACTGTAAGATGCATTAAGTCTGACAAGGATGTAGCTATTTAGTCAATGGGCTGGAATCCCATTGCTTGCGTTTTCTCTCCTGTATCAATTAGTTTCATAGTTCACTATCACTGGTGAATAATACTTGCTGACGTACATGAAAATGTGAATTTCACTAATCAAAAGTCTTCAATAAACCTTCAGAAAGTCTAATTTCGAGGCAGCTCTTATTGAGTATACTAGTCGGATATCGAATTGTGGGGCTTTGTGAAAAAACAGGTCAACTGATGAGCAGGTGATCTTAGTTTTCGTCAACAACAACCAAAGTGTATGAAACTTATATCGACATTTTGAGCAATTCACCTCACTATAGTGAGGTGAACAATTTAGGGAAGCTAGAACATAATCCAGAAGTTTGTCCTAGATCCCTGAGATCCATTGGTAGGGTATGTAGTGAATTAAATATACGCTAAGTGGTTAAATAAAGCCAGAGTGTGATTACACAGTTTGGAACTCTTTAAGACTAAAAATCCACAACCTTTGTTAGATATCGAGTTCAGGATTGTCTAGCTGTTCGTTTGGAATGTAATAGCGAGGGGTTTGTAACTTCCTATGGCTCCATTTTATAGCTAAATAACAACTACTTGACTTCATAAATTGTCTTAAACTGTGCTCCTTAAAAAAGTACGGATTCACACTGATAGTCTTAGATTAGAATCAAAAGACTGTCTATTTTTCCTTGGTTTTCAATGGTCCTCATGCTGATATTGGTCCGTAACAAAAATACCATTTAAAATCACTTAGTATGCTATTGTGTATTTAGAGTCAGAGTAATTTCAGCCTTAACAATAAACACATAATATTATTTTCATTAATCTTGAAAGCCGATGTATAGGCAGTTAATACTTCCTGGTTGATTTCCTCTTGAAGTATCTAAAGCAAAACAAAAAATTCACGTTGCGTGATCGTACGGGCCAGACGACAACCTCTTGATGTCGGCCGGTCACAGATACACAACCTGTTTGAAGTGGGTTTTCCTGGAGTTGTGTTCGTATGAAGAACTTACTGTCCACTGCGAAACCCCACAGAACTTCACAATCAGAATATTCTCTTTTCGGAGTCAACTCCCCCTCCAAAGCGGTGAGATAGCTTCGTCTGAAGAAAACACCTTGCTGTTGTTATACTCCTAATCACCAGACTCCTAACGCAGCACAGACGATTTTTACACTATTATACAAACTATTTTAAGACTAATCACCATCACAAACTACCTTGAATACAATTTTAGATTTTTCCGTCGATTGATTGGAGCCTCGTGGGAACATCATCACTGACTCACTGCGGAATGCAGGCAAATCCAGATGAAGAGTCTCAAATAGGACGAAAAGCGCATCCTGGACTCCACTGCTAGTCACCACCCACCAGTTATCTTGAATACATTCGTTCCAGCAAGTCGGATCAATATGTCATGACAGAAAAGACCAGATAAAGAACTTATACCTTACAGAAATTTAACTAAAGTTCAATAAATGCGAAATAACAGCAGGTTGAAGATGAGGCAGTAACTCATTGAAGAAGACATTGCGAAATGGTCGCACTATGTTGTGAATTGGCAGAAGTTAGAATTCATAATCCATTGGATCGGGTCCCAGTGGCTCAATGGTCTACGAGCTCGTCTCTTAACCAAGAAGGTCCTGGGTGAGAACCCTGGCGGAGGGTGAGTACCGATGAAGAGTCGCAAACTAGGCTTGACGAAACAGCTGTCCAGTGTTCCAGTGCTTCTCTAACTGATGTCAGATCATGATGAAATCCTCCATCCAATCAAACACCAAAAGTGCTGTCATTTCACGTTTATCACACACACACACACACAAATATTATAGAATCATTTATATTTATTTCTATAGGCTAGAAAAATTAAACAAGACAGACCAAAAGAAGAAATGAAAAGAAAAAAAATACCAAAATGTTGAAGGGCAAGAAAAAAAGGAGGCAAAAGTTAAACGATGAATCCAATGATCCCGATCAACAAAACACAATGATTTTATACATAAAAAAGAGAAAAATCCAAAATAAAACTAATTTTGGTCACCGTTATTGTTTTGTTTTTTCTGTGTTAACAGTGTTGTTTGTATTGATCGAAATGTGAAAATGTAATGCGGTTTGCATCTTTTCAGGTTTCTTTTGTTTGTTTGTGTATTTTCAATGGCTGCTGAAGGGAGTAAAAGAGATGCAGGACATCTTTTGTCCTGAAGTACTCATCTCCATATGTAGATGCATGTAGGCATGTATGCATGTATGCGTGTGTATATTGTGTGTACTGGTGACTTGGAGAGAAAGACACTCACGTCATGAAGAAAGTTATTATGTTTTAATAAAGTTAAGTGGAGAATAATACGCTTGCCGGACCCCCCTCCCTCTTCTTCTTTTTGTTAAACATTCATAGAATTATTCGTCTATCGAATAAATTCATTAGAGTTCATTATAATATTATGAGAAGATGAAATAATCGATGGAGAGTTACGTTCATAAGTGACATTATCATTACTAACATTAGATGAATAGTCTTTCTCTAAAGATTTTCTTACATTCTGTTCATTATTTTCATCAGTATTACTATTATTGATTGTTGGTGCATCCGAATGTGTACGTATATGTTTGTTTAAATGATCACTACGTAAAAACCGTTTATGACATGATGGACAAATAAATCGCTTTTCACCAGTATGTGTACGTAAATGACGTTGTAATTCATCAGATCGTGTAAAACGTTTCCCGCATAATAACCAATTACATACAAATGGACGTTCACCAGTATGCCATCTTAAATGTGCTTTTAAATGACTGGTTTTATTATATACTTTACCACAACCTGGTACATGACAATTATGCAAATTTTTACGTCTTAATTCTGCAGCTGTAGTTGGATTAGTTAGATTTAAATGATCCAGTTCTTGACAATTGGGACAATCACATGTTGGTCGACCAACATATCGTTTAACTGTTAGGCTATTGTTATTATTATTACTATTACTATTCGTCGATGATGAAGTTGGCTTCCTACTGTCAACTGGATAGTCACTGTTAAATGTAACCGTTGATGGTGATGACGATGATGGGGATGATAAGGATGCTATTGAGGTGGACGGTTCAAATGTTTGATGTTTAGGCATATTTGCTGACAAGTGATCTTCACTTTCCACTTGACTGTCAGTCATTAATGAACACCTGAATGAATGATTGATTTCTGTTTGATTTGCCGACAGAAATGATTTATAAAATGAAGTATAATCTGACTGAATAGGTGAGTTATTATGGCTATGACTACTATTATTACTGGCAATTTTAGTAGTATTAGAATTAGCACTAGGTATACAGGTATTGTCTTTATTAGGATCATTCTCAAGAATGCTTGAACTGTAGGCTGGATAGCGGGCAACAGCGGCAGCCATTAAAATTGATTTGTACGGATCATTTGTATTGAAGAAATGTGACATATTATTTGACCAGAGATTATCATTACTATTACTGTGATAATTATCATTATTATCACTCATAGGAATACCTGGAGATGAATCGAATGTTCTCATTGGATCTATTTCAGCATTAGAATAACAGTATGGATCCATTGAATTTGGATATATACTCCTTTGGGGTGTAGGCATGAAACATTGGGAATCATTATGTGGAAGGTGAGATATTGGAGTCTGATAACTATTATCAATATTGCTATTATTATTGCCATTACTATTACTATGTACAGGTTGAATTTGTGAATTCTGATAGTGTTGAAGAGTATCCCATGCAGTTTTTGGTGTATCACTGCTAGCCTCATTAGGAAATCTGTTATTGATCAAGGCTTGTATACCAGATAACCAATTCGATTCAGGTTGTTGGTAGTGTTGATGATGAGGATTATGTGGCGTGGTTATCTGTCCACTATTCAATGAATCAATCCCAAGATGTTTATTGTTAGTAATATTATTGTTATGAATGGTAGGATTGACAACAGCAGGATTAGAATATTGTGACCATGGTGAATAGCTTTCATACACTTCTGAATGACAGTATTTATTTAAACTATGATTGAAATTAGTGTCGTCTAAGTTAATATTTTGGTGATAATTATGATGTGGATGATGATGATGATGCCCGGAACTATCAGTGTCATCATTCTCACCAGTATTAGTGTGATCATTATTTAGATTAACAGAGTTCGATGTTGTGGTTACAGTATTCCCACTATTATGTGAACATAGAATATTCTCTGTACTCTGTAAATGACTGGCGTCATAATTTGACATGATTAGAGGATTATTATTATTGATATTATTACTTACTAAATCACTAGTATCACCCATAATATTTTTATTATAATGTAATAAGAATTGTTGATAGTAAGCATTCGATGAAGGTAAATTACATACAGACTGAAAATGTGATTTCTCCTCCTTTTCTGATGATACTGATGACGAAGACGAGGACGTTGATGAGATTAATGCTGGAGATGGTGATGATGGATTCGATGTCAGTTTTCGTTGACAGTTTAATTCATACAATGATAAATCTTTATATTCATCATTCGGTGCATATACCTGTGATTCATTCAGTTGATATGAAATATCATAATTATTATTATTGCATACTGTCGGTGAAACTGTTTGGTAAATATTTGTTGTCAGTGGCGTTTTATTCAATTGTTCAACATTCAATGGTTGTGTTAAATTTTCAATTGTTTTGCACGGGAGTGGAGGAGAGGATAAATGAACATTAAATTGACTGATTGTTTCTTTATTGTTATTTTCTGAAAGTAGTAACATTTGATCTTGTGGCATTAATAATGATAAATTTGTTGGCGTATCATTTAAATAAGCGGACATTATTTATGAAAAGTTCTGTAAAAATAAAAATAAAGAAACTGGATAATTTTTAATAACATTTTATTTCACTACAAATAAGTAGAGCAGTTGATGAGTTTTCCTAACAGACAATGAAGGTATCATCTATATATCTTTTATACATATGCAAACTCTCGATGGTTTCCTTGAGTGGGCCGTTCTCTAAGCTTTCCATGAAGATATCCACTAAGAGCGATCCTAAAGGAGATCCCATGGCGACTCCATCTCTTTGATTGTAGATGACTTCATTAAATCTAAATTGCGTATCTCAACGTATGCATTTCCTGTTTGAACTAACAAAGACAGAAAGTAGCCTGTTCGAGGATTATATTTCTGACGTGATAAAGAAAAGATCTGGAGATGTTAGAATAAATATACTGAAAAGTTGCAAAACAATCGAATCTCACTTTAAGTTTTCAGATTCGCCAGAGAAATATGTTTTTAATTATTCTAATATATCTTTGTCGGATATTCAAATGCAAATCCTATCTCTTGGTCCGAAGTTCTCTACTTTTTCGTCCAGAGTTAACGAATTATACACAAAAGTTCAGTTTGAAAATCTCATGACTCAAACATGTGACTTGCTTCCAACGTCAAGCGATGACGTTCAACAGTTTAAATCTGCAATACTTCATTGTTATTACCAGTAACAAAGAACGCAAGGCAGACAACGATAAATGTTATCAAAAGAACACAAAAGACAACCTAAAGAATAGCTGAACAACAAAAACATAATACTGATTCGTCCAGACAAAGGAACAGGTATTGTTATTCTTAATTGTGATGACTATGTCAATAAATTATGTATCATCCTGTGTGATGAAGATAAATTTCAAAAATCACCTGACCAAAAAGACAAGATGGAGAATATTGAGAAGGAATTAACAAAAACTGACAAAATTGAAGCAAGAATGGATTATTACTCCATATATGTATGAACAGCTTAAACCGTCTGGTTCAACTATCCCTCCTGTATATGGTATTCCAAAGGTGCACAAATATGATGTCCCTCTGCGACCTGTATTGAATATGCAGAACTTGCGGTATTACTCTACCGCTAAATGGCTTGCGGAGATTTTGGAACCAGTTAGATTAAATCTATGTAAATATAGTCTTTCCGACACTTTTGACTTCGTCGGTTGTGTTGATGAAATTAATGTGACTGGTAAGCATATGATTTCGTTAGATGTTTGTTCATTGATCACACCACCATCAGTAGACACTATCTGCTATCTATGCGAGTATATTGATTTAAATAGCATGAACATTGGCTTACCAACTGAATATCTTAAACAACTATTATTGAGATGCACACTGAATGTGCAATTTAGTTTTAATGATTTCGTCTACAATCAACGGGATGGAGTCGCCATGGGTTTTCCTTTAGGACCGCTCTTAGCGGATGTCTTCTTGGCAAGCTTAGAGAACGGCCCACTAAAGAAAATCATTGAGAGTTTGTTTATGTGATAAAAAAAAATAAGTATAGTCGAAAAAACTATTAGAAGTCAATAACTCTCTTGTATTTCAACCTCAATGTAACCAAATTAACATTATTATTATTCAGTGTGTTAGATAAGATTTTTTGATTTTGTCCACTACACTGTTATGGTTTTGCACTACAGTAAATTTGAAGATTTGAAAGAATTATATCCTTCTAAAAGTATCTTGAATACCAAGTTGAACTCAACTCTTAGTAAAAGTTTTTCGTGTTGCAGGGTATGAGTCATATTCAGTGTGTGAAGGATTTGAATCTAGGACTTACTAAATGAAAGTCGAAGGCTTAAGCCAATGAACCGTTCCTCCAAAGTTTTGAATATTAAGAATTTATATTTATCAAATAAATAAAGAATTTTAAATCTTTTACGCTAAAGTTCATTATCGAATCATCATTTCGCAGGGTTTTTTTAATTTACTCTTCATTTATACAGTGGTATAGAATTTAATTCAATTTAGTTTTTTTTCCGGTCTCAGGTTGAGATGTTCGCTCCTAGTGCTGATGCTTCGACGATGTCTTGTCATGTAAGTTGAAGTCAGTTGGTTGGATGATGATTAGCAGTGGGATCCAAGATGAACATTTCATCCCAGTTAGGACTCACCTAGTGGTGAGTAGTGGTGTTCCCAGTGAGGCTCGAACCCAGTGCCCATAGTTTCAAACACCAAAGCTTTGTCCACTAGACCGATTAGGCCATGGAGCATCCGCGAAAGGAGCCAACATGTTAGCAGACATCAAGCACTTCAGTTCAATCAATCGACGGGAAAATCTAAACTGGCTTAAATAATTAATAAGACCCGTTGCACAAGAGGTGGCTCTCGTGGCCCAAAAGGTCTAGTAGATAAAGCTTTAACATTTGAAACTATGGGTACTGGGTTTGAGCCTCAGTGAGGGCACAATCAATCACTGGAGCATGCAAATACATTCACTGGCTGTCGAATCCTGAATGGGATGAAATGTACATCTTAGATTCCACATGATCTTAGCTCAGAGAACCGAGAAGCCGAGAAGGGGGAAATGAATACATTCATGAAAAATAATATTTTAAAAAGCATCTAAAATAATAAACATGATAGTATTCTCTAATATATAAAGCAGAAGTATGTGAGAATTCTTCAAAGAAGTCTCACACAGGAAAGCGAAATCACATCTTCCTGCACCAAGGATCCATCTATGCAGTGATACGGATATAAGTAGTATTGTATTCAACGAAGGCTTGGATTTATAAAAGAAAGTTCCTATAAATTAATGAACTCATAGCAAGTGATACATTCTAAAACATGTCCATCAGTAGCTCCGAAACGACACTGTGTGATAATACTGTCGTGAAAGCTGGCTGTTAGCCGAAATTAGTAGACAGTTATTTACGTCAGTGTGTACGTCCCCAATATTTGGTCATGTGTTGATTTCCTAAATAAACGATCTGTTGCCTGGCCCTTGTCCTCTGTTGCTACAATGCTACTTCCATTTATTTTAAGTAGTTCATTATCTCAATAAAACTGAAGAAACCTATTCCGTTAATTTAAACTAGGAGCCTTCAGATTATCAGCCCAATTAAACGATATAACAAAGATCATACTTTCAAAAGTAGGGATAAAACAGAAACATTTATGGAGAGAAGAATCAGCCTGTCATGTTCCCCTGTTATTTGTCGAAATTAGTGTTTTGAATTTTCCATAAAGTGATTATAGTTAATTAGGGTACTCCATCTCTGTTAACATGTTGGCTTTTGAAACGGATTGATTTTGATGATTTCTCAAGGTTCATGTGTGTTGTTTGGTCAACAATGACTAACAGTGACCTCCAGAATGCATTTATGAATTAAATTTCCTTTTGTGATTTCTCTAACCTATTGGCGAAGTTGATGACACTCTAGTATCTGAAACGATGAGCCTTGAGTTCAAGCTTTGTGGGGACACCAACAATCGTCGCGATACCAACCAAACCAAACAATGAGCACCATGTTCCCCATTATCTCAGACAGTTTTACTAATAATCTATGGAGGGACAATAGTCACGGCAACTAATAATGAACTACAACATTGTGTCCCATAACAATCTTAAGAAATCACACAAAGTACCAACAGAAGTACATTTTATACTAGTAGCCAAAAAAAATCCATGGAGTTGCTTAACTAAATCTTTTTCATTCAGTCTGTACTGAAAACGGAAGAACAAAGTGGATGATCTGTCTACAGAGGACAAATGGGTTAAGAGTGCCCCCGTTTTTATTATTTTTTTTTAACGAAGTACTATTTACTATAGTTGGTTTGTAAGGATTAGTTCGAAAGGTTCGACCTCTGTGGACATATCGGCTCCTTGTGTAGATGCTACAACTATATCTGAGGACCAGGTTAAATCAGTCTCGTGGATGGTAACTAACAATGGAGTCCAAGGTGCACATTTCATCCCCTTTGGGTCTCGTCATCCAGTGGATGGATCTGCATTCCCCAGTGAGTGATGCTGTTCCTACCGAAGCTCAACACCCAGAGCCCATCGTTTCAAACTCTAGAACTTTATCCAGTAGTCCACGTGCGCCATGAAGCACCCACACACTCAGCCGACGTGTCAACATAGGCAAACACTTCGGTTCAATCAATCAACAGCGAAATCAGTAGAGTCAGTGACATTCACAACAGACAATAAAAACTAATAATTTTCAAGTATTGGTTTTATAGGGATTTTGTTTGATTGAATAAAGGATTTCATCATGAGCTGACATCAGTTAGAGAACCACTGGAAAACCTGGGAGTACTGGACAGCTATTCTGTCAGCCTACTTTAGGACTCTTTATCGGTACGCACCCACTGTCAGGGTTCTATCCTAGGACCTTCTGGTTACAAGACGAGCTCGTAGACCATTGAGCCACCGGGACCCGATCCAGTGCCCCATGAATTCTAACTTCTAGATTGGATCCCAGTGGCTTAATGGCCTACGAGCTAGCTTGCCTTGTAACCAGAAGGTCCTGGGTTAGAACTCTGATGAAATCCTCCATTCAAAAACGAATCACTTTAACTTACTGACCCAAATATCTTTACTCTTTTACTTAGTATCCAATTTTAGCCACATACTAAATTCTTTTTAAAAGTTCATGATTAACTCCTGATTAAATAAAAAATCGAACTTTTTTCTTTTTAACACACGAATACATCAATAGTGGATTAATTGTGTTGATCTTCTTTCCAAGAAATACCTTTGTAAGTATTATTTACACTATGATTAATCATTCAATTTTTAAACAGACATGAGTCTAAATTGAACGCATTTCGTGACTACTCTACTTTTTTTCTTCTTTCTATCTAACAGATGTCAAAAATATCTTCAATTTTCTAACCTAATTTCTTAGTAAATGATTTATAATGAATGCATCATCAATTCAGTTTCCCTACAATCTCATCAGCGTAAAGTTTCCTTGTTTTTATTTCAATATAGGCATGTACAATGGTTATACATGATTATACATGCAACAGATAAGAAATTTTTCAGAAAA